CCGGAGTGCGCTCAAAGTCAGGTGCCCCAGTTGGAAAGAAGCTTCGTTTTCAGTGCTCACATGCCGCATTTGCAAGGGTTCTCCATGACTTGTTCGGTGAGTGCACATGTCAGTCTCATGCAAACTTTAACGACGTTGATTTTCATGCCACCGGGACATACAGCCAAGCTCTTGCAGATGGGATTGTGAAAGCGGCAGCTGCAGTTTGAAAGGGGGTTTGATGTTTTTGAGTTCTCTCTCTCTCTCTGAAATGATTTGCCGAGTTGATGGGTGATTAAATCACCTTCCTTTTTGGAAACGCCTCAGCATGATTAAATCATGTGCGGAGTATGTTTTGTTTTTGGTGAGCTTGCGCAGCAACTTACGAAACACCGTGATTTTGCAGTTTGGTGATCCTCTTTGTGCGGTTGCCATGGTTTTCGAAATGATGATGGTTTTACTTTTGAGCTGTCTAGTTCACTGCGAAGCTAGTGGACTGATGGAGTGGCGCCTTGGATCAATGGGATCAAACATCGCTAGAGCAGTTGTCGTGGAAGGTATGGATCCAGTTTGGATTATTGTGGTGGCCATTTTCGTCAATGGACTACTTATTGGTCTGTTGCTGGGAACATGCTGTTTTGCTGGCTGGATGGTCTATCGAGCTACGACGGTGGTTACCTTGCCTTGTGCCGCAACAAAATCCATTCAACCTCATGCTGCGACAAAATCTACACCAAAGAAAGATTTTCCGACAAAATCAACTTCTAAGAAAGATGGTCCTGCGTCTTCAGGGAACACTGTGATTCGCAGGAATGATCGTGGGGATGTTATTTTGCCGGGAGAGGAAGAGAATTTGTTCTGGCGTGATAGGCACAGCAAGCCTATTTTTATCATGGAGGGCGTGGATGCCTTTCATCGGAAAGCTACATGTGTGGAGTATCCTGGATTGGAGGGTCGACCTCTTGTGCCATGTGGATGCTGCAAACCGACTGTTGGGTATGAAAGCTTGGTGACGTTTCCTCTGGGAGACAAGTATCACAAAGAGAACTGCCGACATGTGGGTGCAAAGGGGACGCATCCTGTGATCCGAGCGCCATGTGCTATATGCGTATCCCGTGAGCTGGACTAGCAATGGTTTTCTGCTATGGCTCAGGTATTAGTATTATTTCGAACAAGGATGGGTATGATCATATGATCATGTGGCTTGTTGATCATCCCTGTCCTGGTGATTCTCTGGCCATGATTTGGGGAGAATGTTTTTCGATCAGACGCTGTGATGGCGAGGATGCTGTTAACACGAAGTCTGGAACTACGCAAGTTTTCTGGAGAAGTGTAGGCGACTTTTGGTTGCCTCTGCTGATTTGGAAGTTTTCGTTGCGAGTACTTTATGGTTGCAACCACTTTGCCGTTGCGACTACTTTGAGCCCAATGCGTGATTCAGTGAGATGGCCAATGATGATTGGTCATCAAGAGCGAACGTCATCTCGAAAGGGGGTGTTGAAATTTGTATAGCAGTTTGCCCCTT